ATTTTCTGTCTGCAGGCCATAGAGTTAACACAGAGTCCAAGAAGAAAAGGAGACCGAAGACTTCAGTTGAACCCATCCCCTCCTCTAGGGACAGATATTTGTCTACCTCAAGCTTTTTTTAAAAAAAAAAATTGTGGTAAAATACACATAGCATAGGGCCGGCCCGGTGGCGCACTGGATAGGGCGCCGCTTGGGAAGGGCGGCGGCGCTCCCGCCCAAGGGTTCGGATCCCACATACAGACCGGTTCCCGCTCACTGGCTGAGCGAGGCGCGGGAGCAACACCGAGGGTTGCAATCCCGTTGCTGGTCCCCGGTCCGGTATGGGGGCAACACTGAGGGTTGCGATCCGTTGCCAGACACGGAAAAAGACAAAAAAATAAATAAATAAATAAAATAAAAAAATATTTTCTTTTAAAGGGGCCGGCCCGGTGGCGCACTGGATAGTGCGCCGCTTGGGGAGTGCGGCGGCGCTCCCGCCCAAGGGTTCGGATCCCACATACAGACCGGTTCCCGCTCACTGGCTGAGCGAGGCGCGGGAGCAACACCGAGGGTTGCAATCCCGTTGCTGGTCCCCGGTCCGGTACGGGGGCAACACTGAGGGTTGCGATCCGTTGCCAGACACGGAAAAAGACAAAAAAATAAATAAATAAATAAAATAAAAAAATATTTTCTTTTAAATATTGTTTGGAATATTTTGATGAGTATTCCACAAGATTTATTTTTCTACAAAAGTGTAATGATATCTTATTTCAGCTTTAATTTTCATTATTTATTTTAAGTACATTAAGTTGGATAATACTTTCCATGGCATTGATCTAGATCTTACAGCCTGTAAGTTATTAACATTTCTCATTTGTCTTAATAACTGAAGATACCTAGAGTTTAAATTATATAAAATTGTATACTTACTTTCAGATTTGGCCTTACTTTTAATTACTCTATCCAGGTCATTGAAGGTACTTTTAGAAAAGCCAATTATAAAAAGATGGTTCCAGAATCTTTCAAAGCAAGAAACATACACTTTTCTTTTTCCCAACCCTACCCACAAACTTCACAAAGTTGCTTAGAAAATCATTAATTTTTTAATTCTGTTTAGAAAGTGTAAATATTATTGGGTGATTATTGAATATACCTGCCTGAATTCTTAAGGATCCTAGTCTTGATAATTTCCACTTTGGAAATGATTATTATTAGCATGATCATTTTCACTTTAGAATTATAATATAGGAAATTTTCTCAGGCAAGTATTACTGGACAATCTCTTTTGTTTCTAATTTGCTCCTCACCTATTTGTACTTTTTTCATTTCTGAACTGAAAAGGGAAAAAAAAAAAACCCAAACTGTATATATTAGAAATATTTTTGCAATAGTAACAAAACAATCGAGTGCTTTACAAATTACTTTCTCCGTTCATATACAGAGGCATTAGAAGTGTGGTGCTTTCAGAGCACTAGAACCATACTGCTTTTGCACTTACTAGTTCTGCGACCTTTGAAAGTTACTTTCTCAGAGCCTCCATGTTGTAATTTGAGAAGTGGTAATAGTGGAATTTACCTCACAGGGCTTGTGAGATAAATGAGTTAGTGTACAAAAGGGTATACAACAAGGAGAATTCTGGTTAGGTGGTATAGTAGGAAGCCCAGGAATCTCTCTCCCCACCTGGACAGGAATTGCACTGGCAGAATCTGTCTGATGTAACTATATTGGAACTCTATTGAAGGCTTGTAACTTTTGTCAATTCCAGCTTACATACAGCAAGTTAGCAGCTACCCATCCCCCACCCCTAGCCCCATGCAGGCAGCTGTGCACGTGGTCCAGGAGCAGCTTGCACACAACTGGTAGGACCCAGGGTGGCCAAAAAGCACCCTGCCCTCCAAATATCGGAACCTGCTCTTATTGCTGATTTTTGCTTCTGGTCACAGAGGTGCAGACAAAGAGGCCAGCAGCCATTTTTGTCACTCCTTTGACAAAAATGTTGCAAGCTTCCCCCACCCTCCAGCCTAAGTGACTTTAAGGGATTTAAAGTGACTGAAGGGACTTAAAGGGCCAGCACCCTTTCTTTGCCCTTTTATTCTCTTTTCCCTTTTTGGGAGCCAGACATTAAAGACTAGGATATTCAAAAGCAACTGCTTTTGGAAAATTAGAAAGTTGCTATTTATGATCAGGGAAAGGCAGACTCAGAAGAGACCTGGGAGGACCTTAAGTTTATACCTTAGGCTGGTCCTTGGTACACATATAGCCTGCAGTAACCCCCCCCCCCCAAAAAGAAAACAAAAACAAACAAAACAATAACAAAAAACAGTAAACCTGGGGAAGGAGAAGAGTCCAATTACCAGTGTTCCTACATTATTAGACTCAAATGTCTAGTTTTCAACAAAAAATCACAATGCATACAAAGAAATGGTAAAGTATGGCCTATTCAAAGGAAAAAAATTAATCAACAGAAACTGTCCCTAAAAAGACCTCGTGGCAGATCTACTAGGCAAAGACTTTAGAACAACTATTTTAAAGATGTTCAAAGAACTAAAGGAAATGGTGGAGAAAGTCAAGAAAATGATTCATGCCCAAAATAGAAATATCAGTAAAGAGATGGAAAAACCTCAAAAGAAACTGAAAAGAAATTCCGAAGCTAAAAAATATAGTAACTGTAATGAAAAATTCACAAGAGGGATTCAAAGACATATTTGAGCAGGCAGTAAAAAGAATCAGTGAACTTGAAGATAGGACAATTGAAATTATCAAGTCTGAGGAACAAAAATATAAAAGATTGAAGAAGAGTGAACAGATCTAAGGGTCCTGTGGGATATCATTAATCAGGCATATAAGCATTGTGGGAGTTCCAGAAGAGTGAAAAGGTAGAGAGAATGAAGAAATAATGGCCCACAGCTCCCCAAACCTGGTCAAAGACATGAATATAAACACTCAAGAAGCTCAGTGAATTTCAAGTAAGATGAACTCAAAGAGACACACACCAAGATGCATAATGAAACTTTCAAAAGTTGAAGAGAAAAAGAAAATTGGTTTTTGTTTGTTTGCAGTGGCTTTGGTTTTGGGTTTTTTTTGTTTTTGGGGTTTTTTTTTGCAGCTAACCTGAACCCTTGACCTTGGAGTTAAAACACCATGTTCTATCCAACTGAGCTAACCGGCCAGCCAGAGAAGGAGAATCTTGATAGCAGTAAGAGAAGTGACTCAACACATATAAGGGATTGTTAATAAGATTATCAGCAGATTTCTCACCAGAAACTTTGAAGGCCAGAAGACAGTGTGCTGATAATATTCAAAATGTTAAGAGAAGAAAACTGTCAACAAGGAATTCTATATCTGACAATATTGTCCTTCAAAAGTGAGTGAGAAATTAAGACATCCCCAGGTTAAAAAGAAAAAAGGCTGAGCGAGTTCATTACCACATGACCCGTCCTACAAGCATGCTCAAGGGAGTCCTGCAAGTTGAAATGAAAGGACACTATAGGCCGGCCCGGTGGTGCACTGGATAGTGCGCCGCTTGGGAAGCGCGGCGGCGCTCCCACCCGAGGGTTCGGCTCCCACATACAGACCGGTTCCCGCTCACTGGCTGAGCGAGGCGCGGGAGCAACGATTATCAGCAGATTTCTCACCAGAAACTTTGAAGGCCAGAAGACAGTGTGCTGATAATATTCAAAATGTTAAGAGAAGAAAACTGTCAACAAGGAATTCTATATCTGACAATATTGTCCTTCAAAAGTGAGTGAGAAATTAAGACATCCCCAGGTTAAAAAGAAAAAAGGCTGAGCGAGTTCATTACCACATGACCCGTCCTACAAGCATGCTCAAGGGAGTCCTGCAAGTTGAAATGAAAGGACACTATAGGCCGGCCCGGTGGTGCACTGGATAGTGCGCCGCTTGGGAAGCGCGGCGGCGCTCCCACCCGAGGGTTCGGATCCCACATACAGACCGGTTCCCGCTCACTGGCTGAACGAGGCGCAGGAGCGGCACCGAGGGTTGCAATCCCGTTGCCGGTCCCCGGTCCGGTACGGGGGCAACACTGAGGGTTGCGATCCGTTGCCGGACACGGAAAAAGACAAAAGACAAAAAAAAAAAAAAAAGAAAGAAAGAAATGAAAGGACACTAGACTGTACTCATAGTCAGATGAAGAAGTAAAGACCTCAGTAAATGTAACTAATGGGCAGTTATAAAGCTAGTATTATTATAGCAACAGTTCATAACTGCAGTTTGTGTTTTCTACATGATTTAAGAGACTAATATATATATATATGTATTTTAATACTTTGAAAACTTATATTTAACTTTGATTTGTAACTCTACATTTCTTTCATAGGTTATTTAAGAGACCTATGCATTTAAAAGTATTATTAGTTTAACTTTTTGGCATACAGTGTATAAATATATAATTTTGTGACATCAACAACTGAAAAGCGTGGGGGTGGAGCTGTTTAAGGAGTAGAGTTTTAGTATTTTATTGAAGGTAGGTTGTTATAAATTCAGATTAGAGTGTTACAGCTTTAGGATATTAAATGTAATCCCTGTGTTAACCACAAAGAAAATAGCTGTAGAATATATTCAAAACAAAGTGAGAAAGGAATTTAAGCATTTCACTGTAAATAATCAACTAAACATAAAAATAACACGGTAATTCAGGAAAATAGGGGACAAAAAAACCCCAAACTATAAGGCATATAGAAAACAAATAGGGAAGGGCCAGCCCGTGGCTTACTTGGGAGAGTGTGGTGCTGACAACACCAAGTCAAGGGTTAAGATCCCCTTACCGGTCATCTTTAAAAAAAAAAGAAAAGAAAACAAATAGGGAAATGAAGAGGCAATTCCCTCCTTATCAGTAATTACTTCAAGTATAAGTGGATTATACTCTCCAAACAAAAGACAGAGTGCCAGAACAGGCAAAAATACATGATCCCAGTATATGCTATGTACAAGAGAATCACTTAGATCTAGACACAAAGAGGTTGAAAGTGAAAGGAAGGGAAAAGATAATTCCATACAAATAGTAACTAAAAGAGAGCAGGGGTGGCTATCTAATATCAGATAAAATAGGCTTTATCAATTTTTTTTCAACAGTAAGTAAAATAGGTTTTATTTATTTATTTAGTCAGTCAGTCAGTCAGGTCAGGTCAGGTCAGGTCAGGTCGGTCGGTCGGTCGGTCGGTCGGTCGGTCGGTCGTCATTTTTGTGACCGGTAAGGGGATCGCAACCCTTGGCGTGGTGTCGCCCGCACCGTGCTCAGCCAGTGAGTGCACCGGCCATCCCTATATAGGATCTGAGCCGCTGCGCTCCCAAGCGCCGCACTCTCCGGAGTGCGCCACGGGGCCTGGGGTAAAATAGGTTTTAAATCAAAAAATGTTTGAGACATTCACTGTTTGTGGGAACATAAAACGGTACAGCTACTGGGAAAAACAGAATGGCAGCTCATTAAAAAAATTAAAAATAGAATTACCATATGATCCAGCAATTCTGCTTCTGAGTATACCCGAAAGAATAGAAAGCAAGGTCTCAAAGAGATATTTGTATGTCCACATTCATAACAGCATTATTCACAGTTGCTAAAACATGGAAGCAACCCAAGTGTCCATCAGCCGATGAATAGATAAGCAAAATGTGGTGTATGCATACAATGGAATATTACTCAGCCTTAAAAAGGAAGGAAGTTCTGACACATGTTCCAACATGGTTGAATGTTGAGAATGTTATGAAGAGCGAAATAACCCAGTTACGAAAAGTTGCAAATCCTGTATAATTCTACTTATATGAGTCACTTAGAGTAGTCAAAATCATAGAGACACAAAGCAGAATGGTAGTTACTAGGGGCTGGGGGCAAGAAGAATGGGGAAGGGGAATGGACGCTATTGTTGAATAGGTACAGAGTTTCATTATTACAAGATGAAAAGAGTTCTGGAGATGGATATTGTGGATTTTTGTACAACATTATAGATGTGTTTAATACCACTGAACTGTGCACTTAAAAATAATTAAGTTCATAGAATTTATGTTGTGTGTATTACCACAAAAAGAATTGATGGAAAAAAGGACATATATGAGTCTGTCACTTAGCAATATATATGAATCAGGTATTTATTAATTTGTGTGGATGTAAAGGACATGCTCTTCTTTTGTTAATCTCATTTTCATTTTAATGTTTCATTCAGTTCTTTGATCTAAAATTTCAGTGATACCATTTTTCTAGGCTCTTGGGATGCTCTTTTGGCATAAACATAATATTGAAAAATCACTGGCTGATTTGCCCAACTTTACCCCCTTCCCAGATGAGTGGACTGTGGAAGATAAAGTCTTGTTTGAGCAAGCCTTTAGTTTTCATGGAAAAACTTTTCATAGAATCCAACAAATGGTAAGTAGATGAAATCATTGATTTTTTTCCCCTCCTCCTACCCTCTCTCCTCTGTAACATACGTGAGAGATAGGAATATCATCCTCAAGCACAAATATTCCTATTTTTAATAAAAGTTCCTTTAGAAAAAACAGCTTACTACGTGCTGCTCTCTTGGTAAGAGGGTTCAGATAGGGGAATGAAGCACTTCCTAGCGTGTCCCAGCTTATCCACTGTAACTCAGCCCCCTTCCCATCCACACCCCAATCCCTCTTCTTGGGGCTCCCTAGAAGATTAGACCAGTAGAAATACTTTTGACAGTTGTTGGAGGTGGAGTATCATATGGTCCTGTCTGCCTGGGGAAAGTTTGCTTATCATGTACATTCTGGAAAGCTATTTGGTAGACTTCTACTTAAAAGCTTACCAATGTGTGCATTAAGTGTTAAAATGAAAAAATAAAACAAAAGTTATATTAAGGACATTGGGTATGTGAAAAGTCTGATTCGTCGTAAAGTGACTTCACGATCTTTCATTGACTGTCTCACTTAAGTCAAACTTCAGTAATTTGAAAATGTATTACAATTTTTAATCAGTTTTTTCCTTATCAGAAAAAAAGGGCTATGACTTATGACATTTCTGAAAATGTGAGTGAGCCTTGTTAAATATATCTAAACACATTGGGTTTTTAAAATTAGCTTGAAATGTAAACATTCATTTTTTATATTTAGCTTCCTGATAAATCTATAGCAAGTCTGGTGAAATTTTACTACTCTTGGAAGAAGACGAGAACTAAAACTAGTGTGATGGATCGCCATGCTCGAAAACAAAAACGGGAACGGGAGGAGAGGTGAGCAGGTGGCTGGGTGTCATGTAATCACTTAGGGGAATTTCTAATAGCTGGTGAATACACAAAGGAAAAGTAAAATGACTGGATTTCCCCCAGTGCCTTCCTAGTGGAACCGTACACAGGTATTCTTCAGCTGAGTGTTCATGAGATGTTTTAACATGTGAGTGTTAATAACATTCTTCAGTTACTTTTTCTCACCACTCTTTCCCTGCAGTCAGTGATCTTCCATTCTGAATGAGTGAACTTTCACACTTTTTTCTAGCCCTTTAAGAGTGGCTCCTTTTAATAAAGAGGAATCTTTTCTTTTGTAGGTTGAAATTTATTTGATATATGACTCATTTGACATGTTTTTATGTTTGGTGTATAAAATAATAGACGACAATACAGTTTAGATTTACTTCCTTTTTTGACTGTTTTCTGTGTGGGAGTCAGAGAGAAACATTTCATAATTTCTTCGAAAGGATGTTAGTTTTAAGGATAGTTTAGTAAGTAGGTTGTTTCTTAGCCATCACTTCTTCAGTCTTATACATAGCATAAAGAAGTGGAAATGCTCATGCATTCATACTCACAAGTGAGTTCTAGTCTCAACTCTGAAAGTTCTACTCATATACTCACAGACAGGTTTGTGCAGTGTGCCTCTTCCTCAAGCCTCTGTGTCCTCAACTCTAAAATGAAGATGCCAGAGTCCAGAAGACAGCATACAAACATAATGGTTTTTGTGTTTGGGTGATGAGGAGTATAGGTGACTATTAAAAATTATATTTTCCATGTTTTATATGATATATTATTTTATAAGTTAATAATACAAAATAAAATGGAGGAGGATGAACTATGTTGTTCCCAAGGTCCCTTCACAGGAGAGTATGTTATGATTTCAAATGAAAAAGAATTAACATGTGAGAACACACTGGGAGTTGAGTATCACTTGGAGAATTCAGACCTCTGGACCCAAACATAAATTGAGAGTAGTGTTAAGAACATCTCCAAAGCTCTTAAAGATTCTATAAAATTGTTGACCTTGATACATCTGTATATTTTTTGTCTGTAACATATATACTATTGGGTCTGTTTATGGATCAGTAGTCTTACTTCCTTTTGATTAAATTTTTTATTTCCCTGTATGTTAGGTCTAGTTTACCATTTATAAATTGAGTCTGTTACTACAAGCAGATATGGTCTACTAGGCAGCAATCAAGAATTAAATAAAATATATCGGGATTGGTTAACCTTGAGTATGAAATGAGTGTTGGCCGATGCTCCCCTGTTCTCACCACCCAGGTACTTGTCTCTAGTGTACTACCATTGGGGCTGAGAACTGCCCTGCCCCCTGTTCTCATGTGTACCTTCACCACTGGCAGAATGCACCCGAGCAGGAGCACACCAGCCATGGCAGCAGCACCTCAGAGACTGTTGACTTTCCAGTGGAACATGTCTGTGAAAGTAATGGCAGGGATTAGGACAAAATCCCCTTAGTCCTAGGCTCTTTCTCTTGGTGGTGGGGAGGAGGCCCAGCGCAGTTGGCGTGGTCAGCTGGGATGGATTCCTGAGACAGAGTGGGAGGTTGGCATTTGAAGATCTGGGTATTCTGCTGCTACCACTGTTCAATTGCTTTAACTATGTGCACACTGGGATAAGTTGCTTGACTGCTGCAATTCTTGGTTTTCTCTCTCCCTCTCTTTTTTTATTTTTTTGGCATCTAGCCAGTACCGGGATCCAAAGCCTTAACCTTGGTGTAACCAGCACCATGCTCTCCTAAATGAGCTAACAGGCCAGCAGTTTTCTCATTTTTTAGAGTTTCTATCTACTACAGGGCTTTTTTTTTTTTTTTTTTTTTTTTTTTTTTTTTTTTTTCCTGCTTGACTGCTGCAATTCTTGGTTTTCTCTCTCCCTCTCTTTTTTTATTTTTTTGGCATCTAGCCAGTACCGGGATCCAAAGCCTTAACCTTGGTGTAACCAGCACCATGCTCTCCTAAATGAGCTAACAGGCCAGCAGTTTTCTCATTTTTTAGAGTTTCTATCTACTACAGGGCTTTTTTTTTTTTTTTTTTTTCTTTCCTTCTTCCCTCCCGCCCTCCCTCCATGGGAGGATATAAATAAAAGTATTTGAAGAGCCATGCCAATTTGAGTTTTATTTTTTAATTAACTTAGTTTTAAAACATCAGTTATGCAGGCTACCAAATAGCCTCAGACTCTGTGTGATCATGAGTAGAAAGATGGGACTTGAAAATGGGATTTTTACTTGTTGACAAGTTTGTTCCCAATGCAGTGGGACTCCACTCTTGCATAAGTTCTCAGTTATGTTTAATAACCATTCCCTAGTCCTCTAATAGATAATTATGGGGAAGTAAAGTAAATGCCTTTTGATATTGAAAGTTGAATAGAGAGCAGTAGTGTTCTAGACCTACTTTGGCAAGTTAGAAACCAATTTTAAAGGTTTCTCATCATTTAGACTAAAACAACTATGGAGCTGGTATTTTATTTGAATTGTAAATAATTTTTTTATCTCAACAGTCTGAAAACATACAAATTTTATGTTAAATCTTTCATTAAATCAATTTATTACTTTTTTGTATATTAAATAGAATTAGTACACAATAATCTTTCAGTAATTTGTTCTTGTCTTCCAGTGAGGATGAACTGGAAGAAACGAATGGAAATAACCCCATTGACATTGAAGTTGATCAAAACAAGGAAAGCAAAAAGGAGGTATTTTTTTCCCCTAGTGTTGTTTAGGCGAATAAATTGTATCACTAGTTCTGCAAATAAGACATTCCTCTTGCTCATTCTACTTTTAATGTGTTAGGTGCTATGTTCAAAGCATCATGATAATTATTTTTTAACCAATACTAATTTTGCTTTATAGAAGCTAGAGTTTTGTTTGCCAAGAAACATGAGTAAAGGAGCCTTGAAAAATTAGCATTAATCAGTAAAGATTTTGTCTAGGGTAGCAGTCCTCGCTGATGTCTTTCTTAAGCCATTAGCTCAGTAAGCTAGAAAGTGTATTAGTGAAGACCAGGCTACTACGTGCCTTCTCCTCTCAACCTTGGTGGCCTCCTTTTTAGCTGTGGCTGACCCCAGGGGTCTGTACCCACTGGGTCATGCGGTGACTGCAAGGAGCTGACAGTCCCTCTTAGTACTCAGTTTAGTCATTCAAGGGAGGCTGGCACCATTACCTCACACATGGAAACTCACATTTAAGAAACCACTACACAAGAGATTTCAGTCTCCAGATTCAAGGGGCCCATGAGTCCCTACTATTGTATCTGACTTTTACATGTGTCAATAAAGGTATTTTTCTGAAGACAGTCTATAGTTTTAAAAAAATTCTCAAAGTAGTCTGTATTCCCCCAAAGTATGAGAACAGTTATCTTAAACCTGGAAAAACAAGAGTCTATACATATCTAAACATTAAAGTTATATCAATAATATATGCTTTTTATAAATAAAGTAGGAAATCAGCTTAACAAAAAGAATAATTAAAATGTTTACAGTATTATCCTAATCACTGTTAACATTTTGGTGGTACTTTCCAGACAACTTTCTCTGTTTATACCTGTATATTCTCCGTACATAGATAATTCTGCATCTCTTTACCCATTCAAAATAATAGAATGGGATCTTTCCATGTAATTTTTATAACCTTTTAAATTTATCCCACCTTGAATATGTTTTTGTGTCAAATATATTTATATATATTGGTATATGTTATTCTGTCATACAAATCTTTCATAATTGAGTTAACTAATCCTATATGGATTTCTGTGCTGTTTATTCTCCCTGCTTTTTGCTATTATAAGCAATTGATGATCACATAACTAAATATTTGTGCACTTATTTTTTTCTATTAGAATTAATTCCTGGAAGTTGAGTTATTTGAGTCAGTGTTCTCTCTCTCTCTCTCTCTATATATATATAATATTAATAATATAATAAATATATGTATAATATATAAATATTTATGTAAAGTATAAATATATTACTTATAATATATATATATTTATTTATTTTTATTTATTTATTTTTTTTTTGGTGGCTGGCATCAAACCCTGGACCTTGGTGTTATCAGCATCACACTCTAACCAAATCAGCTAATTGGCCAACCCTTGTTCTACATACATTTTTAAGGCTTTATTTTTTTTTTTTACATATATCACCAAACTGGAAATTGGTAATTCTTTCTGGATGTCACCGTTGCCAGTGATTTATATGAGTGCCCAAATAACAAGGGTTAGCTAAATTAGATTGTTGGGAAATCAAATTATACTTGGAGTTTTTAGTAAGTTTTGTTTTGATGTATTGTTGTTTACTAGGTTCTTCAGTGGAACATTTTAAATGAAAGAGAAAATGTTTGATTTGTGTCAATTTCTATAATTCTTATATAACACAATTTCTTTTTTATTTTTATCTATTTTTTACTTTAACTTATCAATATGCATTGTAGTTGATTTTCATGTCCCTTTACCCGTTCCTCTTTCCCCCTTCTTTTCTCCCCTGTATAACACAGTTTCTTATTCAAAAATAAAAATGGTTAAATCTTAGTTTCTTTAAGTACTAAAATGTTATTAAAACAGATACATGGTGCTGGCCAGTTAGCTCAGTTGGTTAAAGCGTGGTGTTATATAACACCAAGGTCAAGAGTTTGAATCCCTGTACCAGCCAGCCACCCCCAAAAAAACCCCAGACACATGGTCTGTAGGTAATCTTTATTAAACAGCATAGTGCTATACAGAACATAGTTTATTGGCTACTAATATTTTTGTATGTTGTTTATTACCACTTGTTCAAGAAGTGATCACTACCATCATAGTTTGTGTTGTCTTTTTATCTCAGTCTTTTAAAATATGAAACAAAAAGCCTGAACGTATTTTCATCTTTTTTAGTGTAATGTTAATACACTAACAAGATGAGATTTTGAACAATTTTAAAAACTTCTTGTTCGTAAAATGGTTATCAGTAAGACATAATCCTTTCCTTGCCAAAATTTTACTGTGTCTCGTTTCTGAAGATTTTGGTTTTGGAGAAAGCACTTTAAAAAATTAGCAGCAGTCATGCATTTTAGAATGACAGCATATTTTTTTTAGAGCAAGTTATATAAGTTGCCCTAAAAGTTAAGTGTCGTCCAAAGAGAAAAGTTTTGTAAAAAGTCATAGTTTCATATTGAAGTTTATGTTTCTTAGTGGGAAGATTTAAAGAATTATGTATGGATCTTCATAGATGTATACTGTATCATTTTTTTTTTTTCTTTTTTCTTTCTGGGGTCATGTGTCCATTTATATTGCTAGGGACTGCTATTAGAATAAAATACCCTATTCATTTATCTACATATCATATATATATAGAGAGAGAGAAATATATACATATATATGAGAGTACTTCAAAAATTTCATGGAAAGATTTGTGTTATCTTCCAATTCTGTTGTTCCATGAACTTTGTGAAGTACCCTCATATATCCACAAAGCTCACCAGAGGAGAATACAGACCTTTTTTCTTCCTATATTACTACAGGAAGTTGGAATGCTTATTATCAGAGGCTTAAAGTGATAGAATAAGGATGTATCCATACAAGAAGGAAATAGAGTACACTTTGAAGTGTTTAGCCAAAATTCAGTAGCCAAAGTTTTTGTTAACTCCTTGTTAGAATTTGTAGATGGTAATTAAGATGTGGCATGATATTTGTCTTAGTTTGGTGCCATGATAAGGAAATATGTGTATTACTATTTATTTGACATCTTTATCTTGTAGTTTCACTTATCAAATATGTATACTATGCAGGTGCCCCCTACTGAGACAGTTCCTCAGGTCAAAAAAGAAAAACATAGCTCACAAGCTAAAAATAGAGCAAAACGGAAACCTCCAAAAGGAATGTTTCTTTCTCAAGAAGACGTGGAAGCTGTTTCTGCCAATGCCACTGCTGCTACCACGGTGCTGAGACAACTAGACATGGAATTGGTTTCAATCAAACGACAGGTACTTCGGGGCCGGCCCGGTGGCGCACTGCTACAGTGCGCCGCTTGGGAGCGCGGCGGCACTCCCCCAGTCCCGGGTAGAAGAGTTAACTAGCAATTTAGAAGTGTTTTTATTTTTCACACACAGGGATGTTCTCTTTCCATGCATCTCAAAAGGGCATTTTATTTCTAAGGAATTGGACAGAACATCTTGGTTACCAGCTCATTGATTTTTTTTTTTTAATTAACTTTTAAATTGCAGTATTATATACACACACACACACACAAACACACAAGAGTACTTCAAAAAGTTCGTGGAAAAATGGAATTACAAGATAATACCAATCCTTCCACGAACTTTTTGAAGACCCCTTGTTATCTCAATGATTTTTTTATGATGTGATTTTTTTATAACCTGTTTCTGGATCAGGAAATGGAGTGTTGCCCCCAAAGCCCAGCTCAATTCCACTTCTAACTGCCACTCCCCTCAAGAAACAGCATTGGCTTGAGAGCTCCACTCATACCCCTCATTCATTACCCATCTTCTCCAAGGAAATGGCCACTATTTAGATTTTTTAAACCACAGACTGTTCACTTTTAAATTTTATGTAAACAAATATCAGAGGGTTTTATTTTTTATTTTAACATGAGAGCTGTTCATGTAGTGTAGAGCCATTATTCTTGTTCTGTTCTTTTTCATTGCTATATAAATATCCTAGAAATTGTTCACTTTACTATTAGTAGACATTTGGGTGGTTTATTATTATTAGTGTGTGTGCGTGTGTGTGTCCAGCCAGTATGGGGATCTGAATCCATGACCTTGGTGTTATAAGGCTGCTCTCTAACCAACTGAGCTAACCAGCTATACCCAAAATGTTTCTTTCTTTTTTTTTTTTGGTAGCTGGCCAGTATGGGGATCCAAATCCTTGATCTTGGTGTTTCAAAGCTGTGCTCTAACCAAGTGAGCTAACCCAGACCATTACAAATGATACCACCACAAACATTGTTTTATATGACTCTTGTGCATTATATATTCATCTCTGTTGGTCACATCTCTGTATCCCTAAAAGTAGAATTGCTGGGTTACCTAGTGTGCATATGTCCAGCATCAGAAAACAATGCCAGTTTTCCAAAGTGGTCAATTTATGTGAGTTTTGGTTGCACCATATCAGGGTTTCCCAGCTGCAGCATTACTGACATTTTGAGCTGTTTTGTGCATTGTAAGATGTTTAGCAGCATCTTTGGCTTCCTCCCACTAGGTACTAGTAGCACCCTCCCCCCACCAGTTGTGACAGTAGAAATGTTCTCAGGCATTGCCAAATTACACCTGACAGGCAAAATTGTCCCCAGCTCAGAACCACTGCATTACATCATTGCCAACGCTTAGTTAGTCTTTAAATTTTAGCCTTTCTAGTGGGTTTTTGATGATATCGTACTTTTTTTTTTGCAATTCCCTGATGACTAATGGGTTTGCTCATCTTTTCATCTGTTTATTGGCCATTTGGATATCCTCTTTTGTGACCTGTCTATTCAAGATTTTGTTTTGTTTTGTTTTTCTCTATTGGATTGTATGTTTTCTCACTGATTTATAGACTTTTTTAAAAGCAGATGTTCTTTATTCAGGTTCTGAATTGTTTTCTTCCTATTTGTATTATAAATATGTTTCCCATTCTGTGGCTTGCCTTTTCAGTCTTACTGGTATCTTTTGATAAACAGAAATTCTTAATTTTAAGGTAGTTCACTTTCTCAGTCTTGTTCTCTCTGGTTAGTGTGTTTTGAGTTCTGTTAATAACTTTTCCCAAGGTTATGAAGATATTCTCCCATGTTGTCTTAGAAGTATTGTTTTACACACATACCCCCCCAACCCCCTTTTCGGGGGGGGCTGTGGCTGGCTCGTATAGGCATTGTTTTACCTTTTATATTTTGATCTTCAGTCCACTTAGAAATGTTTTTCTGTATGTGCTGTTATGTGTAGGGTTAATATTCATGTTTTTTTTTGTTTTTTGGGTTTTTTTTGTATGGGTGTCTATTTGACCAAGTACTGTTTATTGAAAAGACTGCCCTTTCCCTGCTGCAGTGCAGCAGGACCTTTGTTTTAAATCCAGTATGTATGTATGTGTGGGTCTAGTTTGGGGTTCTCTGTTCCTTTGGTCTGTTTGTCCATCCTTCACCAATACTTAGTATCCTAATTTTACATACTTTATAAATTTAGGTATCTTGTAGTATAAGTGTTCCAAGATTGTCTTTGTTATCCCTGGCCCTTTGTATTCCCATATAAAATTTAGAATTACTTTCTTAATTTTCAGAAAAATAATTCTGCTAGAATTTTGATTGGAATTGTATATGTAGATCAGAATAGAGAATTAACGTCTTTTTTGAGTCTTTCGATCAGTGAACATGAAATACTCCTCCACTTATATAGGTCTTTAATTATTCTCAATGTTTTGTTGTTTTCTGTGTACAGGACTTGTACATTCTGTGTTAATTATTCCTAGATATTTAGTACTTTTTTGGACAATCTTGTAAAGGATATTGTTTTTTAAACTATCTTTTGTAGTTATTTGTGCCTGCTATATAGAAATGGCTCATCATTTTAGTCTGATTGTATATTGCATAGTACATTTCTCGCACGCTCTCTCTCTCTCTCTCTCTCTCTCTTCTTTCCATAGGTGAGAAGAGTGGGGTCTTTGGCCCCTTTCTTCTAGTTTAGGGAAGCAGCACAGACCAGGACCAGGCATGCCCTCTGGAATAAGGAGGTCAGATTCTTCTCTGGGCTGCTGGCACAGCTGCACTCTAATCTTAGGAGAATCACTTAATCTTTCTGGGCCTCTTTTCAAATGAGGAGATTAATCCTTGTCTGCCTGATCTAACAACTATATATCAGATGTACCAGGGCTGCTGTGTGAGAGAGCATTTTAAGCCCTGTTTGCATTTGGAAGAACTCTCTCTGATTAGCACTGTGAGCTCTTCTCTGCATTTGTATCTTCCTCTACAAGAAGGCTCATTTCCCCCTGTGCTGAGTGACTTCCTAGTGATTGCTATTTGATGTTAATATGTTGAAGAAATATTATTCAAGACCCACTCTTCCACAGACGTATTACTGACTCTGTAGCATGAGAAATAAAAGATTCTTTAGATTTCAGAGCAGAGTCAAGAGCAGGAATTTTTAAAATTTGAAGGTAGCTACTTAGGAGTTCACTGTTTTGAAGAGGGAAGGCTTAAGGCTAAGAGAGATTGTTTCAGGGCTACTGTGGAATAGTTAAGTTCACTGCCAAATGTACTTCTAGATTTAAAATGGCAGTCAGTCACCCAGGGGACATATGTTCTGCATCCCCAGGTTTAGTGGTGTAACAGGGAAATATTCACCTGAAAATAACAGAAAATCTGACTAGCAACAGCTTAAAGAATTACAGATTTTTTCTCAAATAGTGAGAAGTCCCAACATCCATGGTTGCTGGCATTAGTTCGACTGTTGAGTGATGCTCTTGGGGACCCAGGCTCTCTCATATTTCTTCTCTGCCATTCTTAGCTTATTGGCTTTCCATCTTGTCACGTCACGTTGGAAGCTGCAGAAGCCATTTCGTAACCCTCACATCTGCATTGAGG